CATAGAATCATAGAATCTTCTCTAGGCTGAACAACCCCAACTCTCTCAGCCTTTCTTCATAGGAGAGGTGTTCCATCCCCCTGAGCATTTTTGTGGCCCTTTTCTGGACATGTAGTTTCATCAGAATAAGATGCTTATATTCCAAGACAAGGGTTCAGACTTAGAGTTCTGCTGCAGGTAAAAATGGTAACAAGTAGTTATTTTGGTTGTGTTTTGCATATAGATAAAAACTGAGATTCTGAAGTGATTTTTATGATCCAAATTACTATTAATGGTTATATTTTTTATGTACCTTTTGAATTTTTCTTGGTTTGGGCAATGGAAATTGTTACAGTTCAGTATGGCCAGCATTACTTTCAAGTTCTCACTAGGGATTTTGTTTTGCTTGGTGCAGTAGAGAATGCAAGCATTTCAGGGCTAGGGTTACTAATTTAGGCAATTATTGCCATTGGAGTTAAAACAAAAGCCATGGAATATTTTTCTTGGTCTGAAATTTAGTAGGAGCTGGTCTGACTCAAAATTGACTTGATAGTGCCAGGTTAAAAATGTGTCTTGTTGCTAACATCTGAAAAGGACTTGTTCTCATTAAAACTTAGTGAGCTGTAATGTACTGAAAAACACTCTTTTTTTGGTACAGCATAGGAGATCTTGCATCTTTCTGGCTTAGAAATGAAAAGTGGAAAACGCAGCATGTTCATAGAAAGCTTTTGGGTTTGGGTTGTGCGTTTTTTTTTCTTGAGGGCAATGTGTAAATTTATTACTGAACCATTCTTTGGATTTTATTTGACTGTGAGAAGTTCTTGCACATAGACTCTCATGAGAAATTTATAAATTATTTTTCTCTCATGCATATAGTGAGTATAATAGTAGTAAAAAAAAAAAAAAAATCAAAGGTAGCTGTAGGATTGTGGAATTCAGGAATAGAAACAAGCCCCAGGTATATACCACTACAGAGCATATTGTAGAGACACTAATGGGGCTTATGACTGTGAGGAAAAAATACCTCAGGATTTAACATCTGAATCTTGAATTGTTATAGCTGCTTCGTGTGCCCACAGCTGTTGACTTTGCTGTTGAAAGAAGCAGGAGGGAAAAGAAGAACAGAAACACATTAATCAGCAGGTATCTGCATCATGTAAATACCTAGTTACAGCCAGGTTTTTTCATACTTGATTTGTTGGGTTTTTTAATTAGCTCAGGTTCTCTATGAAGCTTTAATTAGTGTATAGAAAACTGTAACAGCTCAGAACCGTTGATATAGTGATGACAGCTCAGTGTGTGGGGTGGGAAGAATCTCCGTTTCTGATAGAGCTAGACTGTTTGAAAAAGATGTACTAAAAGGGAGGAACCAAACAGACTGTTACTGCATGGATTTGCAAGGGCAGACAAACCAAACAGGTGAAAAGACATCCATTTTAGCATATTATGCTGGGGACAACTTTTTGTGGTAAAACATTGCAGTGAAGGTAATGAATTTTGAATTTGAAACTTGCATAAGAATTAATTACGTATTTGCTTGTCTTTTGTTCTGTTTCCCTTTTGAGGCCTGTTGGTGTCTCAGAATCAATCATTGACCAGAGGGCAATGAATAGGAGAGTTTTAGTGGTCCTGCAACTTGATGATTTGAATTACAATGTTGCTGCTCCATTTAAAGGGCTCAAGTGTTTTCCATGTAACTGGGGAGCTGAGGGGAATAGTCTGAGTTTGGTAAGCAAAGAGTGTTGTGACCATGTGTCATGGTTTAGCCTCAGTCCCCAACCGAGTACCACACAGCCGCTCGCTCACTCCTCCCCCCCCCCGCCCCCCCCCAGCGGGGGGGG